CAAGACTCAGCCTCAAAAAAAGAAGAAAGAAAGAAAGAGCTAGAGAAAAGACTTCTGTGGCAGATACAACTGTTCTATTAAAAGAATTCACTTCTATTATTGTGTGAGTTCAGAATTACTCATTACTCATACAAGAATAGAAGTGAATCCATGTTTCCTAAAACCATGAAATTGTTCTCACCTAATAATAAGATATAAGTTCAGTAGACCAAAATAAGGTACATATGAAAACTGTTCTTGAGATTTTGAGTCTCAAGAGTTTTTGAGACTTCTTGATTTGCGGGCCCTATATTCTAGTTCATACCTCTTGGAGTAATAAACATTACATGTATAATTTACATGCACACACACACACAAATACACACACACACAGTTGACCCTTGAACAACATGGATTTGAAGTTCGTGGGTCCACTAATATGTGGATTTTCTTCCAAATCTGTCACCCTGAGGCAGCAAGACGAACGCCTCTTCTTCCTCCTCCTCTTCAGTCTACTCAACATGAGAGGATGAGGATGAAGACCTTTATGATGATCTATTTCCACCTAATGAACAGTAAATATATTCTCTCCTCCTTATGGCTTTCTTAATACATTTTCTTTTCTCTACTTTATTGTAAAAATGCAGTATATAGTATTCTACACTAACATACAACATATGTGTTAATCAACTGTTTATCGGCAAGGCTGTGGTTAACAGTAGGTTGTAAGTCGTGTTAAGTTTTGGGGAGTCAAAAGTTATGTGCAGATTTTCAACTGCGCAGGGTGTTAGCATCCCTAACCCCTGCATTGTTGAAGGGTCAACTGTATGTGTGTATATATCTTTTGTATATAACATACATTGTTTCTGGATGCATATATATATATATATATATTTCTTTTGTATACAACATATATTAATATATAAATGCACCTTTTGTATGTAACATACATATATGCACATATACATGCATCTTGAAAACACACAAAAAGCCCCAAATCACCATTCACAAAATATCACGGAAGGCCAACCACAGTGGTTCACGCCTGTAATCCCAGCACTTTGGGAGGGCGAGGTGGGTGGATCACCTGATGTCAGGAGTTCAAGACTGCCCTGACCAACATGGTGAAACCCTGTCTCTACCAAAAATACAAAATTAACTAGACGTGGTGGTGCATCCCTGTAATCCCAGGTACTTGGGAGGCTGAGGCAGGAGAATTGCTTAAACCTGGGAGGCGGAGGTTGCAGTGAGCCGAGATCATGCCATTGCACTCCAGCCTGGATAACAAGAGTGAAGCTCTGTCACAAAAAAAAAAACGAAAAAAGAAAAAAAAAAAAAAAATATATATATATATATATATATGTATATATATATCATAGAGTACAGCTGGCTGTGTTAACTGCCAGAACTCACTAGCCCAAAATGCCTATCTTTCTTCTCCTGACCTCAAATCCCACCTTGTACACCAATTTCTCTTTGTCACACATCTTTTCCTCTCCAGTAATTCTGGATTTTATAATTACAAAAGGGAACCATGACTATGTTTTTATCAAATGCCCAAACACAGAAGCCTAGAGTAAAAAGCAAACGGCTCTCATCACCCTAAGCCCCACAATCCTACTTTATTCTCAGAAATAACATGTTAACCATTCTGTTCTTTCTAGACCTTTATCTATGAATTAGCGTACAGATTTCAGACAAAAAGATAAGTTTTCTTTTTTATACACATCCATGGGATCATACTGAAGATATTCTACAACTTACCTTCTTTTCCACTCAACAGTATGTCTTGAAGGTATATCTGATTCTCCTAAACAGTCTTAGTATAAATACATCATATTTTACTTAGCCAGACCTTCCTGATAGAAATTTATCTTTAGCTTTTTGCAACTATAAAGTATACAACAATGAACATCCTCGTTCATGTCATTTTTTGGTTGAATTTCTTTTTTGGGTCCTTTCTCTTACTAGTTCCACTCAATCTGAGTCCATAGTTCATGACAACCTCATTATTTCCGAGAGAATAAAACTACATAACTAAGTTATGGTTTACTCTCAATTTTCTACACATATCCATTGTGTGTTTGGTGGGGGGAGATGATTATAGATGTGAAACCATGTGAAAAATATGCAATATGCAATCTCAAATGGTAAAGTAGTAGTGATGCCAGTGGTTTTGCTTTTTTGGGATGGAGTCTCGCTCTGTTACCCAGGCTGGAGTGCAATGGCATGATCTCAGCTCACTGCAACCTCCGCTTCTTGGATTCAAGGGATTCTCAAGCCTCAGTCTCCCTAGCAGCTGGGATTACAGGTGGGAGCCACTACACCCAGCTAATTTTGGATTTTTAGTAGAGATGGTGTTTTACCATGTTGACCAGGCTGGTCTTGAACTCCTGACATCAAGTGATCCACCCAACTCAGCCTCCTAAAGTGCTGGGATTACAGGCATAAACCACCATGCCTGCCCAATCCCAGTGTTTTTTAGAAACAGATTAAAGTCAACAGTTCAAAGAGAATGACCTTATTTCCTGGCCTTCCATACATGGATTGACCTAAGTGCATTGAGCAAAAACCAACTTCCTCATAAAATGCAACTGTCAGAAGCAGATGTTTGCTTCACTTCCTTCTAGAAAAGTGTTGTTGCTTCGCAAAAATAATCAACAGGTGCTGTTTTGCCAGGTTACAAAATCAAATCATTAGGAGCTAGAATAGGTCCATAATAGATTCACAACCATATTTAAGGTCACAGCTAGGCAGTGGCAGAGAGAAGACAAAAGGCCAGGTCAAACACTCACCAGGAGTATGAGTTTCTCGAAGAGGCAGACTGACACAGAGGAGAGAGTAATGATCGGAAACCATCAAAGTCCATGCAGTAGTGGCAGGAGGTCACTATCCCATTTTTATTTTATCTTTAAGGCAACAAATAATTTCCAGGTGCTATGATACCACTGCCAGGTATGTTACTTGTTGCCATATTGCTTGTTGTATGTTAGTTTTTCAGTTAAGAAATATTCACTGAGCATCTACAACAAGTCTGGCATTGTTTTCGTTTTGGTAGCACTGGGGTAACAAAACAGGAGACTAAAATAAGCTTCCTGCCCTCCCACAGCTTATGTTCTGGTGGAAGGAAGATAGTGTATAGACATACCACGTATTCAGACATACATACATTCCAAGAAGTGATAAGCAGAGGTAATACAGGTCTAAGCAATACTTAGCATCTTCTCAACATACTTTCCAACTGTCAAAAAGGGGTCCTTTGAATCAGAGATTCTTAGGTACAAAAAATAAAATCAATTTCCAAAAACATTTAAAGGAAGAGAGATCAATCTCCAAGCTTACCATCATTCTTACTGAGATTTTCCAGCTGGGATTAAAGGGTAAGCAAAGGCCAGATTACTAGTTAACACATAAGCTGCAGCAAAGGCCCTGGACAAACAAGAGGCTTCAGGACTCCTCCAGCCAAGTCACTCTGACATCAGAGTCAGTGGCCCCATCGAGAATGACTGACTGCATCACTAGAGCCACCACAGTGACACAGTATTAACAGCAAAGATGCAACTTCTGCAGGAGGGACAGATGCCTCAGTTGGGCATGTCTACAGTGACCTCACAAAAATCTTTCAGATCATAAGCAGCCAGCACCTTGAGAGCAAAGCAGATTTTGCTCCCACTACATATAATAGTCTTCAAGTTATTTCACAAATAGGTGAAAGTACATCAGATTTAGCATTTAGGGTTTTCTGTGCTCCAACACTAACTGCCTATTGAACACATAACTAGGGGCATCAGAGTAATGACACATCTTAAATCTTACCTTGTCAGTGAGGCCTCCCTGGTACCCTATAAAAACCAGTAATTGCCCCTCCCCCTCCCGAACAGTTCCTATCCCCCTTTTTAGCTCTATTTCTCTCTTTAGCACAAATCTCATTGTATTTAACCTCAATGACCAGCACTGACCAGAATGTTAAATCTATGAGGGTACTTCTTTTTTTTGAGACATAGTTTCCATCTTGTTGCCCAGGCTGGAGTGCATGGTGCAATCTCGGCTCACAGAGACCTCTGCTTTCCAGGTTTAAGTGATTCTCCTGCCTCACCTCCCTAGTAGCAGGCATTACAGGCGCCCGCTACCACGCCTGGCTAATTTTTTACATTTTTAGTAGAGACGGGGTTTCACCATGTTCGCCAGGCTGGTCTCAAACTCCTGACCTCAGGTGATCCACCCGCCTCATCCTCCCCAAAGTGCTAGCATTACAGGTGTGAGCCACCACGCCTGGCAGAGGGCACTTTTTAAAAGAATGTATTTTGGACACTGCTTTATCCCCAGAACTCAGAACAGTGGTAATAATAGGTGCTCAATAAATATATTCTTTGTACTTATGAATGAAATCATGAACAAATTATCAAACAATACCTAGGTATGTTTATGCTGGTTATTTCTTTGTTACTCAAGAAAGGAATTCAGGAATGGAATCACCTTTTAGAATAAATTGGAAATCATGACGTAAAATGTTCATCAACCATTTCCTCAGAATAAAGGATATTAGAGGATAGAAATCATAAGTAAGAATCTAGAGCGAAAGGTAAAATTCATTTTTATCAATTTTATGGTAGGTTACTAAGCACACCGAGTAATAAACAAATGCTGAGTAGAGCATGAATAAATCTTTAACTGTGTAGCATGTGAGCTGTTTAGTTAACATAGTTCCCCAGAACTTCTTCCCTTCTTTCTCAGTACCTACTTCTCCTCATGCTTTGACGTTAGGCAAAGATTCAGATCCCCAAGGAGAATAACGGAGTCTAAAACTGTCACATATCAAATAGAAACTATTAAGATGCCCAGTAATTTGACTCAACAGCTTCCAAAATAGCACCCAGGAATTGCAGTAAACTGCAATTCTCCTATTTCATCTAAACGCCACGTTGTAGTGAAAGCAGCAGAAAGGAAACAGTGCTATCTACACGGCAATACGGCTGGGTGGTGTCACACAGACGCCACTCCAGCTGATTCAGTCTTTGGCAATGACGATTAATTTTGAAGGTCTGCTGTCAGAAGAACACAAAGGAAGGACAGAAAGCAATCAAGAGAAATGGGTAAGTAAGAAGGGGAAGGCAAAATTCAAGAAAAATTGGATATTTTACCTAAAAGTTGTCCAAAACACACAAATGACTAACTCCCTGTGGTCACTGTATATGACACCCTTTCCAGTCTCATTCTGCAAAATAATAACTGGCAAAATTTCAGGTATTATGCCAATTTGAGAACTGAAATGGAGACCACGAGGGGACTTACCCAAAGTCTCACCATTAGTAATTAGCAGAAGTAGGACAAAAACAAAAGTCTGAACCTGATCCAAAGCTGTTTCCACTGGTATTCACATGTTCCATGTGGGCTGAAATTAGCAGGATATTCTCAATTTCATTAGCAAAGTAATTTTAAGAACTTTACCATCAGATATATCATAAGATACAGGATTAAGAACCACATAGGTATATTTTATTTCACGCCTCTGGAACAATTGTTCACAAAATTTTATGATTACTCCTTCCTATTTATATAAAAAATTTGCACTATACAGATCTAATATAAGAATATTAATTTATACACATTACACATATACAGCTATTCTAATACATTAGGATACATACAGCATACGTAAAAAAGACTTTTGTTCTTTCTTTCCAATGAGTCATCTTACATTTAAAGGTAAATACCCTCCACTCTGGGGACCACCGATAAATTAACATTCTACTTAAAAATCTTACATACAAAAAAATTAAAAACAGAATTATACTTAACATAATTTGTTAAGACTGTGAAAAAATATTAATACAGATATTTATCCAAAGCAAGGGTAGGTAACTGCACTTGAAAAATGGCTAGATTTCCATGTTTGGGCAAATAAAATAGAGAGCCATATTGGAAAATGTTCTGATAGTTCCTCAAATAGTTAAATATACAGTTACCATTTGATCTAATAATTCTACTCCCAGGTTAAATATACAGTTACCATTTGATCTAATAATTCTACTCCCGGATATACCCAAGAGAAATAAGAACACATATTCACTCAAAAACTTGTGCCAAATATTTCTAGCAGCACTATCCATAATAGCCAAAAAGTGGAAACAAAATGACCATCAACTGATGAATTAACAAAGTGTGCTATATCTGTACAATGAAATGTTATTCAGCCATAATTAGAAATGAAGTGCTAATTCATGCTATGATATGGATGAGCACTGAAATCATTATCCTAAGTGAAAGACGCCAGACACAAAAGACATTTCATATATATATATATACACACACACACACACACAAAATGTCCAGAATAGGCAAATCCATCGAGATAGAAAGTAGATTTGTGGTAGCTTAGGATGGTGGGATGGGAACAACTAAAGGGTACCAGGTTTGTTTTCGAGGTGATGAAAATGTTATAAAATCAACTGTGGTAATGATGGCATATATTTGTGAATATACTAAAAATCACTGACTTGTACGCTTTCTTTTTTTTGAGACAGAGTTTTGCTCTTGTTGACCAGGCTAGAGTGCGATGGCATGATCTTGGTTCACCGTAACCCCTGCCTCCTGGGTTCAATAGATTCTCCTGCCCCAGTCCTCCGAGTAGCTGTGATTACAGGCATGTGCCACCATGCCTGGCTAATTTTGTATGTTTAGTAGAGACAGGGTTTCTCCATGTTGCTCAGGCTAGTCTCAAACTCCTGACCTTGGGTGATCTGCCCACCTTCACCTCTGTTGCTCAGGCTGGAGTGCAGTGGCATGATCACAGCTTACTGCAGCCTTGACCTCCTGGGCTCAAGTGATTCTACTGTCTCAGCCTTCACAGCAACTGGGACCGCAGGTGTGCCACCACATCTGGGCAATTTTTTATTTTTGTAGAGGAGAGGCCTCACTATGTTGGTCAGGTTGGCCTCAAACTCCTGGTCTCAAGCAATCCTCCTAGTTCAGCCTCAAAAAGTGCTAGGATTATAGGCATGAGCCCCAAGCCTGGCTAGACTTGTACACTTTAAATCAGTGACGTGTTTGGCATGTAAATTCTATCTCAATCTCAGTAACAGTATTTTTTAAAAAAATAAGAAATAGAAAATGGTCATCTCCCTTCAAAAAGATCTAGAACTAAAGGGAGCTGTATTTGATGGGCTACAGGAATCAAAGGAGCACAAGCTACACATCAGGCTGTGGACAAAAACAGTAAAAGGACAGGAGAAAGCTAAAAGGAGAAGTGGACAGTAGATAAAGGAAATATTGAATAAATGTGTCAAAAATAGGTATGGAGAAGAAAGAGGAAGTAAAAGTGAAAGTGTCATAGAACTATTTAGAAAGGGAAAAGGAAAAAAAAATCAAGGGCTGGTAAATACAACAGATGACCACCAGCAATCGAGCACCTACTCTCAGACCCTACGCTGAAGAATCCAGATATCCACACCTATTTTTAAACCAGTGCAGCAAGAAGGCTCTAAGGCTGAGATTTATAGATAATAAACAAGGTCAAAAAAGTTAAATATTGGCTGGGTACAGTGGCTCACAGCTGGTATCCCAGCACTTTGAGAGGTCAAGGCAGGTGGATCCCAAGGTCAAGAGATCGAGACCGTCCTCGCCAACATGGTGAAACCCCATCTATACTAAAAATACAATAATTAGCTGGGTGTGGTGACACATGCCTGGAGTCCCAGCTACTTGGGAGGCTGAGGTAGAAGAATCACTTGAACCTGGGAGGCAGAGGTTGCAGTGAGCTGAGATCACACCACTGCACTCCAGCCCGGACAACAGAGTAAGACTCTGTCTCAAAAAAAAAAAAAAAAAGTTATGTATCGTGGTTATGTTTTAAGTGCCTGTTTTTTAGAAATATATACTGAAGCATTTAGAAATAACTGATAGAATGCCAGTGGGGACAATAAATAGAAATAACTGGTAGAATTTCTTAAATCTGCTTTAAAATTATGCCAGTGGGCAACATGGATAAAGCACAGCTGGCCAAGCTGATAACTGCTGAAGCTGGGAGAAAGGAGATTATTCATTGAACTACTCTTTCCATGTCTGAGTTTGAAATTTTCTATTAAAAAATTCCTGTAAGTTTTCTAAAAAGCTTCAATTTTCTACACCTGTCCATGAGTCCCTAGGTTGCCTATCTGACCTCCTTATCTGCTACCTGGACGCCTCTACCCATACCCTCTTGTGGATCTTTATTTAAATGAAGACCTTTCCCATGACCTCCAAACTGAGACTTTCCCATCACCGTTGACAAAATCGCATTTCTACAGGTAACCGCTCTCCCCATGTACTGCCTATAGCCTTCTCTACAGCATTCATCTTCTGACCTCTTCCTCTTCATCAATTCATAACCAACGCTTATATCTTATATGACATTTACTTTGTGCCTGGCACAGTTCCAAATTTTCTACACACACATCATTTCCTTCTGCTTTGATTAGCTCAGAATTCTTCAAGGTGTTTCAGATTATTACCATCCTAGCCCAGCCCCCAACAAAAAGGAACTCTCTTGGTGTCTACATAGCCACATCCAAAGGGCAGCTGGAGGATGGGGGTAGGGTGAAGGCTATTAAAGGTATCTTGAATAAGAAACAGTCAATATATGAGCAAAACCCACAAGTCCAAGTGGCATTGTTTGGAAAAACAGAAAGCAAGGAAACTATCATCTTTATTTTTATTTTTTTAGAGACAGGGTCTTGCTATGTTGCCCAGGCCAGAGTGCAGTGGCTATTCAGAAGCGCAATCCCACTACTGATCAGCATGGGAGTTTTGACCTGTTCCACTTCCGACCTGGGCCAGTTCACCCCCACTTAGGCAAGCTGGTGGTCCCCTGCTCCTGGGAGGTCACCTTATTGATGTCGAACTTAGTATGGACACCCGATCGGCATAGCACACTACAGCCCAGAACTCCTGGGCTCAAGTGATCTTCCCACCTCAGCATCAGGCATAGCTGGGACTATAGGCACACGCCACAGTGCCTGGTGAAAATTATCATCTTTAATTTCACAGTATAATAGAAGATACATGGAGTAAACAATGAATTGTTTCTGCCATACTAGACAAACAGCAAGACTACCTGAGCCATTTTCAAATGACCAAGACCCAGGAGGCCCAGGCTAAACTAATCTAGCTGTAATTCTACAAGCACAGGAGTGAAGAGAAGATCTTTAAATCTTGTGGACTCAAACATCTTTTCAGAATATTAATATTTACCCAGCATGGAGCAGACTGCCTATACCTTGGCAATGCTAGTGACGTTGACATGTCTACCTCCCTGAGCCCAGATCACAATAAAATCAAGTCTAAACCTGGAGTGAGCAACCAAAAAACCTCCAGATTTTTATATAAAAGTCATGGGACAAAAAAAATGACTTAACAATTGAGCCATATTTTTAAAAATACTTGTAAAATATGCATATAGATAAGTACAAGTCTCTTCACTTAACAAACTTGAAGTGGCCATGCCAAAAACATCTAAGAATCATTTCCAAGTAAATACAGAGAGAATAGGGAAGTGCCCTACAATTATTTTTGGAATTCAGCTCTCTTCTGATCAACTGTAGCTTGTTGGAGTAAAAGAATATAAAAGAGTTATTGCCGGGCACGGTGGCTCAAGCCTGTAATCCCAGCACTTTGGGAGGCCGAGGCGGGTGGATCACGAGGTCAAGAGATCGAGACCATCCTGGTCAACATGGTGAAACCCCGTCTCTACTAAAAATACAAAAAATTAGCTGGGCATGGTGGTGTGTGCCTGTCATCCCAGCTACTCAGGAGGTTGAGGCAGGAGAATTGCCTGAACCCAGGAGGCGGAGGTTGCGGTGAACCGAGATCGCACCATTGCACTCCAGCCTGGGTAACAAGAGTGAAACTCTGTCTCAAAAACAAACAAAAAAAAGAGTTATTTACTCTATGATTGTACTTACTCCACCGTTTTCTACAAATATACTTACTCTACAATTTTCATCACCTAAAATCAACCAGTGAACAGCACCTGCTGACTATGCGTGCTTTTCAATGTTACCTACTGAAAAAAAACTTTCAGGTCCAATTTACATTTACTTCTTTTAATAAATTTAAAGCTAAGGATCATTGGAATGGATGTATTTTTTAAAGAATAATTTTTCAATATAATTGTTGGAAAAATCGCATTAAGTATATAGTTTAACATCTATTCATTTTCCAGCCTACTGATGGCAAAAAGGCTTGAATCTGAAACTTTTGTTTTTACACTTAGAACTATTTTACTTTCACAGATCATACTTTATGCTCAGTAGAAACAAAGCATTCATTCAATATAGAGTTATTATCACCATTTTATGGGTCAGAAAAGGAAGTAAAGTGATGACCACAAAGCCACTCAGCAATATGCTCAAGTCCAAATCCTGGAACCTTGTCCAGAGCCCCTAGTGTCACCATCCATGTCGCCTCTGTGTGTAGGACAGAACACAATGCTAAGTTAAAACACACACACACACAAGACCCAATTAAATACAATTTTTATGCCAATCTGAGAAAATGACTTCATAGCTGTGTGATTTTGAGCAATGCACTTAACCTCCCCATGAAGGATGGTATGAGAACAAACAGATTTGTAGCACGTGTATCAGTCTGGTACACAATGTCCTATGAAGGTTAACTTTATTACCACCATCACTATTATTGCAAAAAGACTTTCAGTTCAGAATAAGACAGCACAGTTAAAAAAATCTACTTTTATTTTCCACCTTCTTAACTGAGTCATCTTTCAGCTCCTTTTAATTAAAAAGAAAAAACAATCAGAGATCTAATGGGGAATCAGGAAGATTACTACACTTATAGTCTTTGGAAGGCTGGGCATACTTATCCAAGAACTGCCTAAATTTTTACAGTAACACACCCAACATGCTAATCTGCCATATTAGAAATTCCATATTTCTCTCCATACTAGAAATAATTGTTCCATATTAGAAATATGGATCTAGATTAAGTAACAAAGGAAACGGTTCAAATTTGCCAATACTGTTGTTTGTGTGTCTTCAGATGGGTGAGGGAAAATGTGTCAGCAAGCAATGCACCCTTTCTTCAGTTTTTTACTTACTGTTCTCTAAAGATCATTCAAATTAAAATGTTTGCTCTTGGACTGAGACCTTGGCTCTGACAGAATGTTCCCTGTATCAAAAAACAAGAACTGAACCAACAAACTTTTTGGAGTTAAATGGTTGCATAAAGACTATGTCCAGTCAAAGCTAACGCCCCTCCTCAACCCGAGACTATGATCCTCAATTTTCATCAAAGTTCCTAACATCTCCCACTTTGTTGAGACCCTAAAGAAGTGAATGAAAAAGCCAAAGTTCCTGTCCTCTGCTGTCACTCAGTAACGAGCAGTTTCATGTGGCAGTACAGAAACTGGGGTTTGAGAAACAGATGCATACTGACATTCTGGACCGGTAATCATGAAAACCCCAGCACTGCCCGCAAAGATGCTGTGTTAACTCCGCTCCAAACAAGGTTCTGCTGGGAGCTGGCAGTGTTTGAGCGGGCAGCAATGTGGAGATACCTCCATAGGATACTTTACAGGCTTCAAAACACCTCCCTCCCTCCAAGCCATTAACCTTCTAAACTACACAGTAGGGTACAGCAGGAGCACTGTCCCCCTGAGGCAAGGGAACTGAAGTTCAAGGAAGTTTCTTGACGTGTCAAGATCTCTCTGCTACTTGGCTTTAAGAAACTGGGTCTAAGAAATTCAAGCTTATGGATTCTGTGTCCTCTGCACGCTCCCACCACATCTGCAATTCAAAGATCCTTCCAAATTCCATTGTAATAATCTAGCAAGGGCAGCTCTTGAGTATACCTTTCCCTCTGAGTCTTAATTTCCACTCAAGGCGAAATAACACTTCCTCTGAAAGTTCTCCACGTTCTCCAAGCAGACAGCATCAAGTTCGCAGGGGATCCGCATCAGTCTCGGCCGGCGAGCTTCACGCGGGGCGCGTGGGGGGAACGCTCGCCCGACCACGTCCGGCGTGGCGTGGGGGTGGGGGGGCGGCGACACTACGTAAGGCGCTCCCACCAAACAACACGCCGCAATTTCACACTGCAGCCTAGCTCAGTTTACGGAGCAAAACGTTTGTTTTTCTGCCACCAGATATCCACGACTTTGGGTGTATTGAGGACGACAACCGATTAAAGACACTGATCCCGGAACACTGCGCCTGGGAGGGCGCAGGGCGCAGGCCCTGCAGTCACTGAGAGTCGCCCTGCGTAAAAGCGCCCCGAGGTCCCGCTTCTGCGCCCCTCCCGGCCCCAGCGCAACGCAGGGTCCACCTCACTTCACAAAGTCAGCGCGGTAGAAACCCGCCGCCCGCGAGGAGCCCTTTCCTACTGTCTCCAAAGGGTCCCCGACACCGCCCTGACCGACCCTGGATACCTGGGTGTCTCTGCTGGGCACAAACCTTTCTGGCGCTCCTTCCACCCTCCCACCTCTCCGCGGCCCGCCCTTCCCGTTCTCCAACCACCCTCTCCGCCCCGCGCCGCCCCTCTCTCGCCCGCGGCCCCGCCCGCCTCACCCCGGTGGTGGAAAGCTGCGCCGGGGAAACGCCACGCGTCGGGTCCTCGCTCGCGCGGCTCCGGGCAGCGTTCCGTGGCCACGGCGCTCCCCTTGGCAGCAGAAACGGGAGAGAGGAGAGCGACCGAGGAGGGGACAGGGACGCCCCGACGCCGCCACGCCCCCCCGCCCCCCACGGGGGCCGCCGTAGCCCTCAAGAAGCTCCTCAGGGAAGCGAAGCGCCACTCCTGCTGCAGGCGCCGAGGCGCCGCCGAGATGGAAGGAACTCTAGCCATGCGCCCCCTACATCCGGGCTGCGGCGCCCCGGCCTCGGCCCGTCCTCTTAGAAATCCCGCCCTGGCCTCCCCGCGGGGCCAGACGCAACGAAACTTTCAGGGGTCAGGCCGGGCGCGGTGGCTCAAGCCTGTAATCCCAGCACTTTGGGAGGCCGAGGCGGGTGGATCACGAGGTCAAGAGATCGAGACCATCCTGGTCAACATGGTGAAGCCCCATCTCTACCAAAAATACAAAAAAATTAGCTGGGCATGGTGGTGCGTGCCTGTAATCCCAGCTACTCAGGAGGCTGAGGCAGGAGAATTGCCTGAACCCAGGAGGCGGAGGTTGCGGTGAGCCAAGATCGCGCCATTGCACTCCAGCCTGGGTAACATGAGTGAAACTCCGTCTCAAAAAAAAAAAAAAAGAAACTTTCAGGGGTCGAAGACCTCGCAGCAGTGAGTTCCCAACCCCAAATGCACCAAGCAGCAGTATGTCGCGTTCATACAATTGCCTGAAATAAAGAATGAGTCTGCCCTGAAATCGACCGTGAGCCACCGCTCTCTGACCTCTGCTGGCTGCTTCACCCGGAGTCGGAGTCCGACTCCTTTTGGACTTCACTGTCAAGCAACTCATCACCACGTCTTTTGCAGCGAAGGTTTGGAATCCCATCACGGGTGTGCCGTGGTTAGTCCTGAAATCGTGGTGGTGCTAGAAGAACCTGCCAACCAATACGTTAAGTTTTCACGAATAGAATCTTGAGCAGTGGCCGGGCGCTGTGGCTCACGCAATTCCAGCACTCACTTGGGAGGCCGAGGCGGGCGGATCTCTTGAGGTCAGGAGTTCGAGACCAGCCTGGCCAACATGGTGAAAGCCCTTATCTACTAAAAATGTAAAAATTAGCCGGGCGTGGTGGTGCGTGCCTGTAATCCCAGCTACTCAGGAGGCTGAGGCAGGAGAATTGCTGGAACCCCGGCGGCGGCGAGATTGTGCCATTGCAGCCCAAAACCAAACCCAGCATTTTCCTGAGTTCCCTGGCTTTGTCTTTTGTCATTTCCAGAATGGAACAAAGGCACTGGTAATTTGGGCTTTACTTGCCTGGCACCTCTGGCATAGAGTGGTAAAACGGCAGCACCATGTACTAATTGCTGCCATTTTCAGATAAAATCTTGAATCAGTGTGACAAAAGTCAGATGAATACTAGCTGCAGATTACCCTGCTTCCCTTGGGGGCAGCCTAGACCAGCTTACCTGCAAGAACTCTGGATATTTGGTATATTTAGAATTCCAAATACAGTATCCCAGGAATTCAGGTCAGCTGAAGGACTATTGGGAAGGGCTTACCTTAAATGAATCAGAAAGAAAAAGGTGAGTGTGTGTTCTAACAGTTTTTGAGTATCAGCTATGTGCCAGGTACGTTTTCTTATTATTTGAAGCAAGCCCATGAGCATCCCTGAGAATAACAAGTCATTGTTCCCATTTCGCAAGAGGGAATCTATGACTTAAGAGAGCTTAAGTAACTTCCCCAAGGTCACAGAGCTAGTAAGTAGCACAGTTAGGCTTTGAAAGCAGGTGTATCTAACACCAAACTCTGTGTCCAGTTCTACTATACCACCAGCAAGATAGAAGAATAATGAACTAAAGGGACCAGGCAAGAGCCTGTTTCAGGGATATTTAAAGGGAAAGAGGAGTCAAGAGGAAGTTAAAGAATCTTGAAACGAGAGGAAATGCCATGCCAAAAACCAAAAACAACTGGATTAGTTGGCAGATGGGACATAGTCCAAAGCAAGACAATCATTCTTGTAGGGAGATGAGGATATTCTGGACCAAGATTGTGGGCTTTCGTCATCCCCCCTGAAGCCACTCTGAAATCACCTTTATCAAAGCTGCCAGAAGGCAGGCCTAGACACCGTCACATGGGCCTTCTACTAAATCTGAGTATAGACGCTCAACATCTGGTCACAGACGCAGGAGGTCCACACTCTGAACATTTCAGAGTATCTCTGGGACTAAGGAGGAACATTCAGGACGGGTTTTTCAAGTTAGGAATGCTCACTGGAAATCTGCTCTGTCCCCTCTGGGATCTGGAAGTAGAATTTCCCAAGCACTAAATGCTGAGGCGTGGGCTTTCCAAGAATTGTCTGATTGGTTAATTCTGAGAACGTCACTGATCATTACAAACGGAGCACCATGCAGGAAAAGAAGAGGCTGGTTTGGGTTTTTTTCATGGGGAAGGTGAACTTCTAGATCACAGTACCTTCCAAGACACAGGGCTTGAAAGCAGTGAGTGTCAGGGACGACTCACCATGTTAGCTAGCCCAGCTGGGCTCACGCCCAGCACCCACTCATCACACACAAAGCTCCATTGTGTCCAGGGCAGCCTCATAGAAGACCAAAAGCTTAGCAGCTGCCCGCCAAAACCCAGCCAGGCTTCACAAGAAGCGATTTGTGCTGTGAGCAAAGCTTTGACCCCAGTTTTGAACTCATCTGACAGCAAAGGGGAAATCAGTCTCTGTACAAAACAGGAAGGAAATGAGATGAACTGCATGAAAAGCTACCAGAGGGTGCCTAATGGCATCCTCACCACGCAGAAGTCCCAGGAAGAAAGATGATGATGCTGCAGGGAAGAGAAGCCCAGACAAGCACCAGGGAGGAAAAGAACAGGGAAGCTGCATTTGGCTTAGCTGTTTCTCTTCCTCCTTGCCTGTCTGACTTGAACAGCCACTGTCTGTAAAAGGATAAATTTGTATGTACCTACTTACATGAGGAACCTGGAATAGACAAATTCATAGACACAGAAAGTAGAATAGAAGTTGGCAGGGCCTGGCAAAATGGGGAATCAGGGGTTATTGCTTAATGGACACAGAGTTTTCTGTCTGGATGATGAAAAACTACTGGAGAGAGATGGTAGTGATAGTTGCACAATGTTGTAAATGTACTTTTTTTTTTTTTTTTTTTGGACGGAGTTTTGCTCTTGTTACCCAGGCTGGAGTGCAATGGCGCGATCTCGGCTCACCGCAGCCTCCGCCTCCTGGGTTCAGGCAATTCTCCTGCCTCAGCCTCCTGAGTAGCTGGGATTACAGGCACGTGCCACCATGCCCTGCTAATTTTTTGTATTTTTAGTAGAGTCGGGGTTTCACCCCGTTGACCAGGATGGTCTCGATCTCTTGACCTTGTGATCCACCCACCTCGGCCTCCCAAAGTGCTGGGATTACAGGCTTGAGCCACCGCGCCCGGCCTGTTGTAAATGTACTTAATGCCATTGAATTGAACACTGAAAAATGGTTATCATAATACATTTTGTTATATTTTACCACAAATATATGTGTGTATATACGTACATATTATTTATATACTTTACATATACATATATATGTGAAATATATAAATATATTATGATGTTATTCCTCTTTGGAGTAAAAGCCCAGGTGAAAGCAATCAGCTGAGAGAGCCCCTACACCTGGAAATTCTTCTCTTGAATTTTGGGTATTTTTTTCCTCTTTTTATTTTAATTTGTATTTATTTATTTTTGAGATATCACTCTGTCATCCAGGCTGGAGTGCAGTAGCGTGATCTCAGCTTACTGCAACCTCCACCTCCCAGGTTCAAGTAACCCTTGTGCCTCAGCCTCCTGGGTAGCTGGGATTATAGGCATGCACCACTACACCCAGCTATTTTTGTATTTGTAGTAGAGACGGGGTTTCACCATGTTGGCCAGGCTGGTCTTGAATTACTGACCTAAGGTGATCTGCCTGCCTCGGCCTCCCAAAGTGCTGAGATCACAGGTGTGAGCCACCGCACCCAGGCTTTTGCTTTAAAAAAATTTTTTTTTGAGACAGGGTCTTGCTCTGTTGCCCAGGGTGGAGTACAGTGGCATGATCATGACTCACTGCAGCCTTGACCTTCCAGGCTCAGGTGATCCTCCCACCTCAGTCTCCTGAGTTACTGGCTCTACAGGCGAACAGCACCACACCCAGCTAAATTGTTTATTTGTAGAAATGAGGATTTGCCTGTGTTTCTCAAGCTAGTCTCGAACCCCTGAGTTCAAACAATCCTCCCACCTCAGGATCTCTTGAGGTCAGGAGTTCCAGATCAGCCTGGCCAACATGGTGATACTCCATCTCTACTAAAATACAAAAATTAGCTGGGAGTGGTGGTGGATGCCTGAATCTCAACTACTGAGGAGGCTGAGGCAGGAGAATCACTTGAACCCGGGAGGCAGAGGTTGCAGTGAGCCGAGATGGCACCATTGCACTCCAGCCTGGGCCACAGAGCAAGAATCTGTCTCAATCAAATAAATAAATAAGTCTTAATCTATTTTGCTTTCCATTTAGGGGTGCCAGGGCCCAGCTTTTGGGTTGTTACAACCCCTTATTTAGAAGGAAGCGTAGTTCTGCCATTTTACTCTTTGCTCCAGCTGGTGATAAGTAGCTGGGGCTTTGTGGTGGCATACTGAGAGATGTGGTTCTAAAAGGGACTACCTTTGAGGACTAAGCTCTGATTTGTTTTTCATCTTGCCTAAATTCCTATGTAAGCGGTCTGGGGAGTCATGCCCTACAAATCATAAATTCTCCTCAGATGGGTTTTATTTAATCCTATATATCGTGACTTACTTTCCAATCTGACGCTGGTATAACATCACGAGACAAGGAAGAATATAAAAATATTTTACCCCACAACATGTTTCTTTGCCATATTTTGAAATGTCCCTGCAAAGCCGTCCTTTGTGGGGGGTAATTTGCATCTGTAAAGAATCTCTATTAAAATGGCTAGATCGTTTTCTTTCAGACCCTCCCAATCCTGAAGAAATTAACTCAGATCTGAATAGGAAACATTTGTCATCTATTGTCTCTAAGGGCAGACACTATTAGGCTGCAGAACAGCATTGGTCGCCACAGTTTTTATCTTAACCTGAATATTTCCTTTCTCTGAATCCCACATTTTTAGACAAACTCAACCAATTGTCAACCAGAAAATGTTTAAATTCACCTATAACCTGGAACCCACCCCCACCCCCCATCTTTGCCAGCTTTGAATTGTCCTGCCTTTCTGCACCAAACCAAGTATTTTTCTTTCTTTCTTTTCTTTTTTTTTAAATTATACTTTAAGTTCTGGGGTACATGTGCAGAACGTGCAGGTTTGTTATCAGGTATACTCATGCCATGGTGGTTGCTGCACCCCATCAACCTGTCATGTACATTAGATATTTGTCCTAATGCTCTTGCTCCCCTAGCCCCCCACCACCCGACAGGCCCTCTGTGTGATGCTCTTCTCCCTGTCTCCATGTGTTCTCATTGTTCAATTCCCACTTATGGGTGAGAACATGCGGTGTTTGGTTTTCTGTTCCTGTGTTAGTTTGCTGAGAATGTTGGTTTCCAGCTTCATCCATGCCCTGCAAAGGACATGAACTCATCCTTTTCATGGCTGTATAGTATTCCATGGTGTATTTGTGCTACATTTTCTTTATCCAGTCTGTTTTTTTTTTTTTTTGAGATGGAGTTTCGCTCTTGTTACCCAGGCTGGAGTGCAATGGTGCGATCTCGGCTCACCGCAACCTCCGTCTCCTGGGTTCAGGCAATTCTCCTGCCTCAACCTCCTGAGTAGCTGGGACTACAGGCACTCACCACCATGCCCAGCTAATTTTTTGTATTTTTAGTAGAGATGGGGTTTCACCATGTTGACCAGGATGGTCTCGATCTCTTGACCTCGTGATCCACCTGCCTCGGCCTCCCAAAGTGCTGGGATTACAGGCATGAGCCACTGCGCCCGGCCCTATCCAGTCTGTTTTTGATGGTGTTTGGGTTGGTTCCAACTCTG